ACCTTGCAGGGTGTCTTTTGTCATTATCAAAATGAAATATTCTGTGCTGCAGAATCAGAGTTTAAGTATAAATTTGCTCTTACTATTTTTAAAAGAATATTACAGATTATATCATTACTTATTAAAACCAGATATCTAGTAAATGCTACTGAATGTGTCTTTGGTTGTTCAAGACGTCTTAAAAATGAGGGTTTTACTTCAGAAAGCAAATGAGAGAAAAATGGGCTTCTCCCGTAATGTCTGGTGCCTTTGAAGAGTTTGCCTATAAATTGTCTCTGGCTGCAAGTATTTGTTCGTCTGTGTGGTAGCTGAGGTGGCTTAGTCATAAGGAGCAACACTGCCATCCCCCAAGGCATCCGGTTTGAATCTAACAGCTGCTCCGTGGGAGAGAGATGGACAGTCTCCTCCTGTGAGATTTATTCCCTCTGAAAACCCACTGGACAGTGAGATATGGGTTGGTTTTAACTTAACAGTACATAACGTGATACTTACATGCCATGTGCTGTTTAGGCAATTTTGCAAAGTCCCTACTACTTTCCAAGTAAGTTTGGGACTCTGTAGACTTGATATCACTGTGTCTATGAAAGATAAGCCAGAGTTGGCTGAATTTTTATTTCAGCTTCTGCCTTTTCCCTGCTTTTCTCAGTTGGACTTTATAACTTACCAAGAGTCAGATTCTGACAGGAGCAAAAGGTGGCCGGCAACCTCAGTCATGTCAGGTTGATGGGCATAAGATAAAGGCACAGACTATAGACCTTCGATCTTTTAGTCTTGATCCAGCCTTCATTTTCTTTCTTTTCTCTGCCGTCATTCTCCTGTCTTGAGTTCTTTCTTTATTATATTAATCAAAGCAGCCTTCAGCAGGGAATCAGCACAGTCTTCCACTCACCACTCCTGTGTTCTCCTTATTCAATGTGTTCTGTGTTCTGCCTTGTACTCTGCACTCTGGTAATATCCCTATTTTTCAGGGATGTCTTCAGTATATTGGCCTCCTGTTGAAGACATTTTTCTTGCCTGGATTTTAGTATTGTGAGCCTACTTTTAAAGAGTTTGAAACAAAAATGTGAATGTGACTTCACCAAAAAGATTTTTTCATTTTCTGAAAAACCAAATGATGCTCTTGTTCTTTGGGGTGATCAGCATTTCTAATATAAAGCTTCATGCAGTAAATTCTTCTTAGAATTGAATATGCTGTTTCTCACAATAAACTGGGCTTCCAACTTTCACATAGCCTTCCAATTTCTCCAATTTAGTGCCTGAGAAGGAAAGATCTTACTTTAATACACAATTTAAATTAGGCAGTCGTTTGCTAAAGTTATGTTCTCCCTAGTTTATTATAGCTTTTTAATTTTTTCTTTATATTGTGGTTTTCCTAACATGTGAAATTTTTACTATAAATGGAATACTGCTCAGAATCATGTATTCCTTGGTTTTTCACTCAGTTCTTTAGTTTTTTACTGCATATAGTTAAGTTTGGGGGCTGCTTTAAAGTTTGGGAAGATGAGTGGAGAAGATGGATTCTACAAAGGTGTGTTTTCTGTTTTGGCTGAGGCTTGTTTTGAGTTTTGTTTTTTTGACTAGTTTTAATTGTTTTCAGTCAAACATTCTTCTAAGTGGTATAGCACTGGTGTGTCAATTTGCTATACAGAGGTACTCATGGTTGCTGTGATGGCAAACATTATGCCACTGATCTGTCAAATGTGATAATGGTTGCTGATGGTGGACAGTGTTTGATGGAGCTGTCAAATTGAAACAAGCTTGGCAGCAGGAGTTGCCTCCACTTCCAACATATCTTGCCTCTTGAAACTCTTTGAATTTAGAGAAACAATGAAAGATGAAAGTTACGCGTATTCAAGACTTTGGATCATAGGGTCCCTATGAGTCGTCTGTGACTCACCAGCACTTAACAACAACAACAACAATGTTTAAATTTAAACTAAAATATTACTCATTACTATAAAGGGAACATTATACCTGAAGATTATGTAGTTGTTATGTGCTGCAGAGTCAGTATAAACCCATAGGTGATTCTCTGGCAGGTTTTCAGAGGCTGTTATTTGCATGAGAGGAGATTGCCCATCCTTCTCCCACAGAGCAGCTGGTGGATTCAAACTGCCTGCCTTTTATTAACAAGTTATATATAATTGATACAGTTTTTTTAAAAAGTATAAATTTATTATATATTATGTAAGTAATTTATTACCTATTTAAATAGTGTGAGTTGCTACACTCTTTTTTAGCAATGTTATCTTTTATGCTCATTGCATTTTTATTTACATTGAACCGATTCATAGCTTATCCTTCAGTTGTTATTCAGAGGATGTTAATCTCATAGGAGAGATTGCCCATCCTCTGTTTTGCACCTGGTGAATTTGAACTGCTTATTTTTGGATTGGCAGTACAACTTTTTACCATTAAACCACCAGAGCTCCCTAACATGGGAATAGTCAATCAGTTGAATTACAGAGTTTGGGATATTAAAACAGCAAATGACTATATGTATAATTCTGGGTGAGTACTATACATTTTTTTTTAGGTTTTGAGAGCTGATCTAATGTCTCATTTGCAGATTCATGAAATATTTGATTGTCAAGAATGTATGAAGAAATTTATTTCAGCTAATCAGCTAAAACGTCATATGATCACCCATTCAGGTAAAATTCACACTTTTTCACTGACATTTAAATAACTAGGGGGGAAAATCACTTAATCATTTTCAGAAACCCTAGGAATGATAATTATGAGGCATGGCTGTTCTAGTTCTAGCTTGGCCATTACATAACTACACACAAGCTGTGTAGTTTGATGCAAGTTTTTTTGTTCTTCAATTTATATTTTTAGAAAAACTAAATGAGAGACATTCAAACTCAGTATTTAATTTGTCTCTTCCTTAGCTTGAGTCTCTGCTTTTTTATTCTTATATGAAATGGGATAATGTGTACTGTTTTTATTGGATTACTTTGAAAATTGTCCTTATCTTTCAGTAGGGATTGCGTAGCTGTAGGGTATTGTTGTTTGGGGTTTTTAAATTACATTATTTAACTATAGTAGCTAATGTAATTTGTGTAGAATCATTAAATCTGCATTTGGGGATACATCTGTAGCCATGGTATTAATAAATATTTGTGATAAACTTATATAAATACCTTTTTAGTGAGTATTAGTTTTTAAAATCATAGTTTCTTTCACTTTAAACAAGTTTTAAATTGTCTGTTTTACTTAACAGAGTTGTCTCCACTCATTTTTCACAGAAAAGCGACCATATAATTGTGACATTTGTAATAAGTCTTTTAAGAGGCTTGATCAAGTAGGTGCTCATAAAGTAATACACAGTGAAGATAAACCATACAAATGCAAGCTTTGTGGGAAGGGATTTGCTCACCGAAATGTTTACAAGAATCATAAGAAGGTAAAAACATTTTTTAAAAATCAATTTACTGGAATTGCCCTTTCTTGAAAAGAAGTTTTTATATATTTGAAGTAGGCTGTACAAAATGGAGCAATTGTGCAAGTCTGATATCTGTCTACTTTCTCACCAATCCTCCCAATCCCATAATAGTCTGGTTTTTCTCTGTTTGTCTTTATTAAATCTATTCTCCTCAAAACTAAGGTGTCATTCAGTATTTTCAAATTCTGAACCACGAAACTATTTAATAGGCCACGGCATTGTAAAAATTGATAAATCTTCATTCTCTTTCTTTATTTCATAAAATTACCTTTTCAAATACATCTTTGGTGTCCTTTTAGTACATTTAGGTAATTATACCTATTGCTGAGTATACTCTGAAGAATATAAAATTATTCTGAATGCTTTAACTGTGACCTCTTCTATGTTCTCTTGAACTGAACAATATCAGCCCAATCTACTGTTATAGCTATCAACTGTTCCCCGATGATTTCTTTTCTTGAACTCTGAGTTTCTGACTCATATTTGCAATGATCTTGCATCATGATGAATTACTCATGTCCCAAACGGATTCTTTCAGTCTCTCTACCCAAGATAACTTCTTTATAGGAGTTTTCTATTTATTTTGAGATTGTTGTTGTTGTTGTTGTTATGTGCCGTCGAGTTGCCTGCAACTCATAGCGACCCTATGTACAACAGTGCTAAACTCTGCTCTATCTTGTGTCAGTCTGTCTCCGACATACTTACTCCCAATACCCCAGTCACTGAATCAATCCACCTCATAGAGGGTCTTCCTCTCCTGCGCTGTCCCTCCACCCTCCCAAGCATGATGTCCTTCTCCAAGAACTGTTAGTACTGTTAGTACTTTCTCCAAAGTATTGAAGAGCAGTGGTGTCCCTCTGGAAACTAAGGTGCACCTGATACAGACCATGGACTTTGCAATCACTTGCTATGTCAAAGAGTTGGACAATGACTAGGGAGGATAGAAAGAAAATTGATGCCTTTGAGCTGTGGTATTGGAGGAGAGTATTGAATATACCATGGACTGCTAAGAAAATAAACAGGTTCATCCTGGAGAGGGTTAAACCAGGCTGCTCCTTGGAGGCAATGATTCTGATTGTTTTGTTGAGGGATGGAAAAAACAACCCCAATATTTTTATTTTTCTTAAAATTTATTTTTATTTATTGGTTCAGAATCAACCAATAGCTGATCCTCTAGTGTTTTTTGTAGGCTGTAAATTGCACTGGAGGAGATTACCTATCTTTCTCCTACTGATATATTTTAACCACCAAAGAGTCTAACCTTTGGGGTTAGCAGCATATTCCTTATGGACTATGATGCCAGATCGTTTATTCTCCATTTTCTCATTATCTTCAAAAGATTTCTTCCTTTACTATTCTATTGTCTTGATTAATTCCCACCTCCATCACTTTAGTATAGGCTTTTTACTGCTCATTACTTTCATTTTTCTTTTTGTTCTGTACCATAAAGTCAGAACTGAGCCATACCTGACCCTCTGGACAGTTTTCAGAAGCAGTTAATCTCACAGTAGGAGATTGTCCATCCTTTTCCCACAGAGAAGTTGGTAGCCATGAACCACATGCCTTTGGGATTGCAGTGCAGCTTCTTGCCACAAGGCCACCATAACAAGTAACAAATCCATCCTACATGTTTAATTAATTGTCTCAAAGCCCACCCCTGATACTCAACACATTCTAATTGTCTAGATTTTGAATACTAGTGGAATCTGTAGTACATACACCTCACCTTGTCCTTCAGAGTTCTCCATATTTTTTTTTCTAGCTCAATGTCCTTCTCTTTTTCTTCTTGGGGAGCTTGGTGGCATAGAGCACTGTACTGTTGTGCTGCTAATAGAAATGCTTCATTCCTCTGGCAGTTTTACTCCACCAGTGGTTTCAAAGTAGAAAGATAGGCAATCTACCTTTTGAGTTCTAGCCTCTGAAACTGGATGAAGAGTTGTTGAGGCAGAACTGACTAAATGGCAGTGAGTTGTTTGGTTTTACCTGAAAAAAATTGATATTTGCTTTTATTTAGTGAGACTTCTATACCATTGCTTTCTTCTTTGCGTGGTTAATTTTCATTTGCATTTCTAACACTTCCTTTACTGGACTGATAAATTATTTATTTAGTTTATTTTCTTTGAGTGGAGGATAAATAAAGTTTAAATTGAAATCAGAAATTTATACAAAGATAATTGGCATTTTAGAAGTATATTTAAAAAATGTATGTGTACTTTGAAAAATGCCTTTACCTTGATACTGCTACTATATTTTTGTATATTATTAAGATATTTATGTCTTTTAAAGTAATTTCTTACCATTTTCCCACTGCAAATATTCTGTTTGAATTATAGTTGTTTTTTCAGTGTTTATTTGTTCTTTTGTTGTGTGCTTTACAAAGACGTAATTTTTATATTTTCAAGTAATTCATAAATTGTTTCAATTTTATTAATATTTATATACTCTTTAGTCTAAAAAGTAAAATAAAGTTTACCAGCAAATAAACATGATTGACTAATAGTATCTCAGATCACCTATCTGCCTCATTTCTTTCCAACCGCCTACATTTTTACGTCAACCGTGATATGTTAAGGGGCAGAGCCACATTTGTTACTGCTGCTTTGGAATTACATGACTGTAAAATGTTATCTGGCTAGTTTCCTGCTCAGTCTCTGGAACTCTGTTGTTCCTTTCTTTGATGAAACTGATCTACCTACCTTTACGAGTTTTTCACAGTTTGGCTTACGTTATATGCCTTAAGGGAATACAGCACAGGATCTTTGCACCATCTCTTATACTTCCAGCCATAAATCGTGTGAATATAATAGTGATGTCTTGGGAAGGGTATAAATAGTGATGCCTGAAATTTCCAAAGTGGAAAGCACATTCAGTCCTTCTACTGTAGACAAATGTGCATTATGATTCTAGTGTGTGTTTGGTATGAGTGCATGAAAATACAATGCAATATTTTCCAGGCACTCATACTATAAAAAGACAGTTCAACTTTTCCCATCATTTTTATTAATTAATGACTGGTTGTGAAACTGAACAATTAACAATATGCCAAAGGAAGCAAGAAGGGAAAAAACCTACAAAAACTATTGAAAGACAACTTGATCATCATTTTATAGATCGGGCCTAATGGTTCTTATTTTGCCAGAAATTGTAATTTATTTTCTACCATTACTGCTTAATTATTTTTGTATTTTTTTTTTATTTTGTAGTCTGCGTATTTTTACTATACTTGACTTAATTTAAGGTCAATTTTTTCCCTTTTAACATTTAGATTTAGTGAATGTTTTTAGTAAATATTATTAAATAAATGTAAACTTAAGAGACGCTGGTCAAAAGAAAAAAAATGTCAGCAGTTGATGTGTTTGGAATCACAGAAGCCAAGAAAGCTTAAGATACAAGCTGTCAGATCATGGGTTGGACAATGGAAGATATTTTCTGAAGGGACTTGGCAGATG